GACCCCCGAGGGCGGGCACTGATTCTAAACTGGAAGTGATGGGACCCCGAGGGGCGGGCACTTGACCCGCTCCAGCCTTGTCCATCTGCTCTACAGCCAGCACCACCTCTCACGGGGTACATGTGCACAACCCACCCTCAGAAACCCCTGTTCTTCCTGATGGGACCCCGCCACCACCCATGAGCTCACGTGCTCATTTTGGGAAAACAATAGGCCTTTATTAGGCCCAGTCTCGGTTTTATTCAAGGCTGCTTTTGTAGGTTTAGCCTAAATAAAACGGGTATAATAGGTGGCCCTACTGAAGGCCTGTGAGAAATGTAGTTATTTCATTAGTCAGTGTGCAGAGAAGAGACCACAGACCAGGTAATTCTGTACATTGACTTAGGTCAGTATTTGAGATCTTACAGTTCAGAGTGGACTGTTAATGTATTCTAACCCTAACTGGATAAGAGTCAGAAATGTTGCTGCTTTTAAATTTTTGTTCTAAATTATTTTAGTGCCAGGAAAGGGATGTAATTAAAAGAAGGAATCTTGGCCAGGCGCGGTGGCTCATACCTGTAATCCCAGCACTTTGCATGCGAGGCTGAGATGGGAGGATCACTTGAGCCCGGGAGTTCAAGACCAGCCTGGGCAACATAGCAAGACCCCTTCTCTAAAAATGAAAACAAATTATTTTGTATGTAAATGAAATTTTTTTTAAATAAAGGAAGGAATCTTTGTAAGTATTGCAGCTATCATGTGTTTTGATTAATTGTAGGTTTGTTAGAGGATTGTGGCAGGTGTGTGTTTTTAAGCCTGAACTTGGTAGACCTGACCCTTCTTGCTCTAGAGACTCCAAAGGTGTCGTCAGCACTAACTATGTTAAAATCAGGGAAGTCTCACTATACATACTTTTCCAAGTTCATTTTCTGCAAAATCAGCCAGATAAGACTCAGCTGAGAGATTTTTTTTCCCTAAGATTTCACGGTTCTTCCTTTTGATTTCTAATTACAAGAATAAAGATCCTATCATTAATTTTTTGTTTTGATTGTAAAGCTTATGCTTTTCTTGCAGCTGGATGTTAGTGAGATGCAGTCCCTTTTCCTTTTTTCACGTGTGATGCTATTCCTCATGCCTGAGCTCTCGCCTCTGACCACAGGCGCCCTCCGGCCAGCACCCTCTTCTCTGTCCTTTCCATTTCAGTGTGATTGGAAATGGACTCTCCCAGCACTCAACACAGAGATGGGTACGGGAGGTACCTTTTACTTGTTTTAACCTCAAATGAAGTATAATATGTAACACGTACCCCATAGTAATACATCTGCCCCGTAAGTGACCAGCTCCATTTGACTGGACATGCCCATGTAGCCAGCCCCAGACCGAGAAATGGAGCATCCTCAGCTCCTCAGGGCCCTCCTGTGCACCCCGCCAGTCCCTGGAGCCGGCAGAGGCTTGTGGGGTTTGCACCAAGAAGCATACTGCTGGTGCAGTGAGGGGAGGTTTGTGCATCCAGCTGCAAGGAGAGGACAGAGAGAGGGGCTCACCTGAGCCATCCAGGAAGACTTTGCTGTCCAGCGTCTCAGTGTGGCCACTGGAGGACACAGGAGAGGGAGGGAGCGCAGGCCTCGGTGCCCGGGCAGCTTGTTAGCCTGCCAGTCTTTTTCTTCAGTAGGAACAATGGAAGCAAGGGGGAAGACTTGGAATAGAGTATTGCATTTTGTAGCGTATTTTCATAACTCTGCTGATTGGTTATTTGGAGGTATTGCCTGTACACAGTTCTTACTGAGCCTTGAACATAAACTTGTCCTCTTTTGTTATCTACTGTAAGTGTTTTAATTCTGTGCTACTGTGATCTTTGTTTTGAATTCCTATTTCCTTCCATTTTTAGGTCCCAATATTGAAGCCCATGGATCTTATGGTAGAAGCGAGTCCACGGCGAATTTTTGCAAATGCTCACACATATCATATAAATTCCATTTCAGTTAATAGTGATCATGAAACATATCTTTCTGCAGATGACCTGAGAATTAATTTATGGCACTTGGAAATCACAGATAGAAGCTTTAGTATCCTTCCTCAGAAGGACACTGGCATTTTCCTTGGGGCTGGTCTTCAGATGGTGATTTCTCTTGTTCCTTTACACGCCTGTCTCAGAGTCTAGTCTTGTAAATGCTGTGGCTGCATGGTGGCCTGCAGTGTAAGTTCTCTGTGATTTGAAATGTTTGTCCCCAAAAATACAAATTTCCTTCTACCTTTGGAAACAGTTCTCTGTATAGTGGGAATTACCTGAAGTCCACTGCCTGCCTGGTTTAATCAGAGACAGTTTTAAATAGGCTGCGTTTGAAAAACCAACATTACGTGTTCTTTTTTAATTTTTTTTCCTAAATTTGCTAATGGATGATAGAAAATATTGGCTTAGGTTAGAGTGGCATTTAATCGCCCGTCTGAGCAGCAGCTTCCAGTAAGAACCTGTGTTCTTCCGAGGCTGTGCACGGTCTGGGGGTCCTAGCCCTCCTCACGTGGGCTCCTTTACAGCCAGCGGCCAGGGAGCAGGGGGCGTGCTTCGTCTGCAACCTCTCCCAGGGCCCTGTCATCCAGTGCTGTCCCTCTGCTGTCCAGTGGCTTGAGCTGGGGTTCCACATCGTGTGTTGGTTTTCTTAGTAGTTTCAGCTAAAAGGGTGAAGCTGGCCCTGCAGTCTGAATTGGCCCACCACTGAGTTCTGCCCTGTATTTTTCCCAGTTGGAGGATTTCTGTATAGGGCAGCCTGCTATGTTGGCTCTGCTCTAACTACTCAGAACAAGCTCTTAATGTCAGGTGATTAGAAAAGCAGCGTCTTTTGGAATTTGGCAGTATTCTTGTGTCTGTAATTATGTATGGGTGTGTGGGATTTTGCACAGGTGGTGCTCGCTTGCTTTTCCTGTCTATATGATTAAGTATGTACTGTCTTGCTATCAGAGGGTTTCCGTAGAACATTAATAATTGCAACAGGATGAAAATGGTATTCGCGTGTCTGTGTCTCCCCGGGGTCGGGGCGTTGCTGTAGTCTGGTGAGGGTGCTCATCCCAATCCTCTTAGCAGGAGCTCCTTTGGAATTCAGGAGGTGTCATCGGCCTTCTTTATGGCTAATCTTTTAAACCTCACTGCGCGGATTACTTTACGTCCTATTTCATGTGACTGAATTTGACTAATTAAAAAACAGCTGAGCACTGTGCCTTAACCACACACTCCCAGACATCGTAGACATCAAGCCTGCGAACATGGAGGAGCTGACGGAAGTCATCACTGCTGCCGAGTTCCACCCGCACCAGTGCAACGTGTTTGTCTACAGCAGCAGCAAAGGCACCATCCGACTCTGCGACATGCGCTCCTCAGCCCTGTGTGACCGACACTCCAAGTGTAAGTGCCTGGCGGCTCACTCTGTCACTCAGGCTGGAGTGCAGTGGTGCAATCTCAACTCACCGCAACCTCTGCCTCCTAGGTTCAAGCAGTTGTCCTGCCTCAGCCTCCTAAGTAGCTGACATTACAGGCATCTGCCACCACGCCCGGGTAATTTTTGTATTTTTAGTAGAGACAAGGTTTCACCATGTTGTCCAGGCTGGTCTTGAACTCCTGACCTCAGGCGATCCACTCACCGTGGCCTCCCAAAGTGCTGGGATTATAGGGTGACCGCCCGTGCCCAGCCGTGCCTGGCATCTTTTAAAGCATCTCCTTTAGATCTTCTTGTTCTTCAGAGGTTCTTCTAAGTCATCTCCAAAGACTTAGAGGGTTCTCCCTGTCCCCCAGGCACCTTTGCGCACCTGGGGAGCCCTCCATTGCTGCGGCCGTCCGAGCATGGCTGTGTCAGAGGCTGCCGCTACTAACGGGAAGTCGAGGTCTTGCTTCCCACGGGCTTGTGGCTGTAGGGTGAGTGCCTTGGTACCACCAAGAAGTGGGGTCACTTCTGACCAGAACCTGAGTGTCTCCTCAGCGGCTGCCAGCACTGGGTCCTACCAGAGCACCTCATTGTCTCTGCCTCTGTGCGTGAGACCTGGGCTGAGGCCGCCAGCACACAGGGGGTTGTTCCCAGCTGTTGGAATGAGCTCTGTTCATGTTGAGCTTTGCTGAATTGGAAGCCACTTCCCTGAGCTGGAAGGCTAGCATTTTAATCCACTGAACTTTCAAGTTCCTTCTAGGTGAGGGAGGTTTTGTTTTTGTTTTTATTTTTAGCCATAAAGAACGGGCTCAACTGCATACAGTGCTGTACTCAGCATGCCCCAGTGTCCTGAAACGTTGCCAGCTCTTCCCCCAGTGCCTGCAGGTAGACCGTGCCCAGTGACACTTCCTCTGATGGTAGAGCCCCAGTCAGCCCCACCAGACTATGCTCAGCAGCCTTTCTGCCTGTTCTTTCCCAAAGTTGAAGTGTGTTTTTAAGAATTCTAATATTCCTATTAGAATTCCTGCGATGAAGATAAGTGTTTTATAGTACTTAGCCTATATCTTAAGCATAACATTCTTGAGGAAATAATTTCAGATTCCAGGAGTTCTGTTTGTCATCAGAGTGTTTGTCATTTGAGTAAATGCTTGGTGTCAGCGTAGCTGGCTTCAAATTAACTTCAAATGTAAAGCTAACAAATACATGTTCCTACATCAAGGAAAAAGAGAAAAAAAGCAGTTTGAAATAAAGGAAGTATAAGCCAGGTGCAGTGGTGCACACCTGTGGTTCCAGCTACTCTGGAGGCTGAGATGGGAGGATCACCTGAGCCCAGGAGTTTTGAGACCAACCTGGGCAACATAGACCTTGTCTATTTAAAAAAAAAAAAAGGAAGCACATGTCCCCTGGCCTCAAGTTTACTAACCCTTAGGGCATATGACCACATACTAGGGCAGTCAGTGGCCCCGTGGGGCTGGGGCACCTCACTCTGCCACAGGTGCGGGTGGGGGGACCTCTGTCCACTTACTGCAGAGAAAGCAGGGTCTGCCAAGGAAGTGCCCAAGTCGTTCTGAAAATAGGAACTCAGTTTTGTCACAGTAGAGCTTGAGTATCCAGGATTGGAGGCAAACTTGCTGGCTGGCTTTGACCGGCAGGACCATGATGGTGGTTAAAATCTGGACCACAGCGTTGCTGGTCAAGGTGGTCACTCAGGCAGACCCACAAGCTGTCAGCCCTCCGAAGAGCAGGCACTTTTTTAGAGGCCCAGACCGCTGTGTCTGCGTGACCATGTAACGTTGTTTGTGTCTTCCTGTGATGTACATGGGATAGGATTTCGTGTCTGGGGCCTCGTGCCCTGAGGATGGGAAGACACTCCTCCCGTAAGGCAGTGATGTTGAATTTGGGCACGCGTCAGGATACCCTGAGGAGCTCCCACAGATGGCTGCCCCCAGGACCTTGCCCAGAGATTCTGACTCATCAGGGTCTGGGTGAGACTTGGGCGTCTGCACCTCTCGTGCCTGCCCCTTGTCCGCAGCTGGTGCTAGAGTGCCTTATTCTAAGGTCTTGCTCACAGAAGTCACAGACGATGACAAACCTAGAGAATCAGAAAGATCAGAAGACCTAGTACTGTCGAGAAAGAGCCCTTCCAGAGCCTTTGAAGAGGCCATGTCCTGCTTGAACTTGAATATGACTTTTCTCTGATTTTTAAACAGAAGCTGAACACGTTGTTTTGTTTTTCAGTTTTTGAAGAGCCTGAAGATCCCAGCAGTAGGTCCTTCTTCTCGGAAATAATCTCGTCCATATCTGATGTAAAGTTCAGCCACAGCGGGCGGTACATGATGAGCAGGGACTACCTGTCGGTGAAGGTGTGGGACCTCAACATGGAGAGCCGGCCGCTGGAGACCCACCAGGTCCACGAGTACCTGCGCAGCAAGCTCTGCTCGCTCTATGAGAACGACTGCATCTTCGACAAGTTTGAGTGTTGCTGGAACGGTTCGGATAGGTAAGGCCTACGTGGAAATGAGCAGCCGCCCCCAGCTTGCGATTTCCCAGAGTGCAAGGTCAGTGAGGGAGGGCGCTGTCCTCCAGCGCCACAGAGGACGATGTGCACGGGGTTGTTTTCCAGGCCTTTTGATTGATGGACAATAGTATCAGGGTAGAGAAACTCCGGTCTCTCAGTAAGTTTCTCACCTAGCTTGTAATTCCATCTATATTTAGTCCAGACGTATAGCACTAAGTACAGGTTGGCTATGTTTTAAATGCTTAGCCCAAGATCAGGGAAAGGAAGGAAGTGGGGGCGTGCTCACCTCATGGGAATGGCCACGCTGCACTTCGCCTTTCCTCTGGAAAGAAGTGGCTAAAAACACCCCCGAGCCCACTGCCTGCCGCGCTTGGACACAGCATGGTCAGAAACACCAGTGTGATTTGTCATGTGATGTTCTCGTACCTTGATCATTTATTTTGTGTACATTCTTTAAAGTTATTATGATTAGTATGGTTGAGAATTATGTTTTATTATTATGCAAAAAGTTACATTTCAGATGATGGAAGATTATTTTGCACCATTTTTATGTAGAATTTTTGTTCAGAACTTAACAGAAGATGAGTCTGCTGTTGGCAATAAGTGATTCACTGGATAGTCTATAAAATCCTCTGGCGTAAACACCTAGAAATGCTGGATATGATACAGCAGGTGTCTCTTCAGGCATGTAGTTGAGCTCACAAATAAGCAAGGGAAATCTCACACCGGCAGAAAGTAAGAGGGAGCGGAAACCAGAAAGTAAGAGGGAGCGGAAACCAGAATGGTAGACTCTGAAGGCGTCTCTTCGGAGAGCAGCCTTGCAGCGCCGCTGGCCTCGGGAATCAGCCCATAGTGGGAACCGCTGCCTCCCGTGAAAGACAGGTTGTGGTGCAGAGCTGAAGCCTTGGCCACGCGAGGTGTGGAGTTGTAACAGGGACCCTCCGTGATGATGTCTCATCCACTGGCAAATGGAGTGCAAAGGGAAGTGTATCTGTCTGAGACCTTGCCGTGGGGTGGCAGCACCCCCTGAGAGGTGTATCACCTCCCCTCACAAGGGTTTGAGGCCTGTGTCTGCGCCAGCTGCATCCTGACCTGCAAAATCTCACACTTTGGAGCCCTTTCTTTCCACGAGGGCTGTGTGCGAGCATCTGGAGGGACCAGCGTGTTTCCAGGTCTGGCTTCTACTCTGTTTACAGACTGACCTTTTAGCCTGTAGCATCTCACGGATGTTGACTGAAGACATGAAGCTCCCGGGTCCTCCTGGCCCAGCAGGCAGTGTGAGCCTCTCATTGGCCTGCTTCCCCCACAGATGGACACACAGGCCGTGGCTGGTGCACACTGAGCTTGGAGAACCCGCTGCTTTCACAGTGGGCAGTAAACACACCTGCACGTTGAGCAGAAGAGACATGACCTCATTCCTCCAGGCCGCTGGCGGTAAGCACAACCCTGAGAAGTGGCCCAGTTAGAGAGAATGGCGTTCTTGGCAAACCCAGTGAGAACACGTGTGGTGGGCGGCTGCTGCCAGCACACTCGGGTCTCTCTGGATTTCCTCAGATTACAATCATCTAAACAGGAGCTCACAGGTGAAAGCTGCTGAGCATGTACCGGGAAAGCCATCATGAGCAAGTCAGCAGAACCACACGGCAGCACTGAACCTCCAAGAAGTCAGCTGTTGAGATCCTGAGTTAAAGAAGATAAACTGAGAGTGCCGGAGGAAGGAAACAGCCTGGACCAGGAGCCACTGACCGCCAAACAGCCAGGGAGACGAAGGGAATCAAAGAGAACGTCTGGAAATGGCGCGTGCGGTAGATGGAACTGTGTGGCTGGAGCTGCAGGTCCGTTCTGGCCAAAGAAACCTTGTAGTAGTAGATGGCAAAGGCAACCAGAAGAAATGGTGGGCTAAAGAGCCAAGCAGATAGAAAACCTGAAACAGCAGGCACCGCAGAGGCTGGGCTGAGGCACAGCACACATTTCAACGGACAAGTGTGGGGGTGTGAGGCTTAAAGTGACAGTGGCCAGGAATTTTCTGTAACTTATGAAAGCCTGAATACACAGAATCAGGAGGCACAGAAATGCTCATCCATATTATAGTGAAATTGCAGGGCACCAAACACATCTTAAATGTGCCCAAGGAAAAAACACAAATTACCTCCGAGAGCAGACACCGAGACTGAGACGAGGCTTTGCGACGGCCACAGTGGGAGCCAGAAGCCATGTGACAGATACAGCGGGTGTGACTCGTGACGTTCCACCGCCAGCTTAGAATCAAGCCTTGAAATAGATGCTTGTTCAAGAATCTGCTTGTGATAAAGGCATTTTCAGATGGGAAGCAGTGTATTGCAGCAGGAAAGTCAGTAGCGTGAGCTGTAAAAGAACTCGCTGAAGAACATGCTCTAGCAGCTGGAGAGTGGCCCTGCAGAAAGGGGCTGAGGCAGACAGGCAGGGGAACAGCCATGCGGACCCCACAGAAAGGGGCTGAGGCAGACAGGCAGGGGAACAGCCATGCGGACCCCACAGAAAGGGGCTGAGACAGACAGGCAGGGGAACAGCCATGCGGACCCCACAGAAAGGGGCTGAGACAGACAGGCAGGGGAACAGCCCGCAGGAGGAGAGCAACGCGGACTCTGAAGCTCCTCCAGCAGAGCGACCTTAGTTATCTGTGCTAGGGGGAGAAAAATGAGAGCCCTCACCAGCTCCACACAGTAAATAAGCTCTGAGTGCTCTAAAGCCTAAGGCGTCCTGAGCTCTGGAGTCAGAAAGTTCTTAAACAAGGCCCCAAAAGCCCAAACAGTGAAGGAGAACATTAAGAAATTCAACTACATTAAATTTTAAAGTTCTTTATGTTGAAATTAAAAGTGAAAACAAAATCCACAAAAGCAAGCATAACAAACAGAGATTGAGTATCCAGAACATGTACAGAATTAGGAGTTCACACGAAGCTAGCAAACAACTCAGAGAAGAGCAAAAACCATAAATGGGATTTCGCAGAAATGGAAAATAAACAGATAGAAATGCTCATCCTTCTTAGTGATGAGCAAGTAAAGCCAGAGGGGCGTCCTTTTACACCCATCAGAATGATGATGGTGTCAGGGAGAGGGTGGAGGCCAGTGGGCTCACCCAGTGCCCTTGTGGCCCTCCTTGGTGCCATTCAGTCTGGTTGGGAGCTACCTGCACATACAGACGACAAAACATGCTGAGACATGGAATAGTAAACTCCTGGAGGCAGCCCACAGGTGCAGAATTAGGGGATAGACAGGTGAGTTCTCGATCATAGTGACCTCTACTGAAAAGCGGTGAGAATTGGTGAGATTTGGATCTCACAAAGATAGTCCACAAAGAAAATTCAGGAGGAACGCGTACGGTAACATACAACATGATAGGTTTAAGACATATCAGACAGTTTTATTTGTTTTTAAGAATCCGTAACTATTGGCCAGGTGTGGTGGCTCACACTTGTAATCTCAGCACTTTAGGAGGCTGAGGCAGGCAGATACTTGAGGTCAGGAGTTCAAGACTAGCCTGGCCAACATTGTGAAACCCTGTCTCTACTAAAAATACAAAAATTAGGTGTGGTGGCGGGCACCTGTAATCCCAGCTACTCGGAAGGCCGAGGCAGGAGAATTAATTGAAACTGGGAGGCGGAAGTGATTGTGGCACTGCACTCCAGCCTGGGCAATAAGAACAAAATTCCATCCAAAAAAAAAAAAGAATCTGTAACTATTCAAAATATAAATGTGTGTGGGGATGACACATACTTCTGTAGCAAGTGATCCCCCAGCTGGGGACAGATGGGAGATCATCTTTCTTTCCAGAGTGGCACCCAGTGGGAGTTTGCTGTCTTAGCAGTGACTTGCAGGTACATGGATATTCACTGTATTCTTCATTCCTCTTGATAGATTTGAAATATTGGAAAGTGCACTTAGATCACGTGCCCGCTAGCATTTGCCTAGTGCATTCACTCTTGCAGACGTGCTCATGTCTTCCTGCCTGGACCCCTCTGTTGAGGGATGCCATGGGGGAGAGTGAGGTGCTTCAGTGCTGCCTCCGCCCAGTGCAAGTCCCATGTGTGGCAGCGCCTTCTCATGTTCTAGGCTGCCCCACAAAACCAGTGACGCGTTGACTCTGTGTCTGCCTGTGCTGTTCCCTTCCTGGGCCCGCCGGGGCTGCGGGGCAGTGCTCTTGTTTGCCGTGAAGAAACGCCCACTCTGGGGCTGGCACTGTCTGTCAAGAATTGAAAAGTGATGATAAAACTGTGTAAAAGCTGATGTGCTTTTCATTATTGCCACACACCAGCAATTCCGTCGGCCATACTTCTTCCCAAAACTCTCGTTGTTTGTGTTCTGAATAACAGTTGCTGTTGAGTTTTAATAACATAAATGTACGCTCCAGATTCACACATTCTTTTTACCCTTTTGTAAACATTGTTTTCTTTGTGGAAACTAATTTGGAGAACTCCCAGTCAGCGGCACTCACGTGCGGACTTGGTAGCGCTGGAGGGCGTGGGACACACCGTGTGTCTTCTGCCTCGGTGGCACTGTGGGCTCCTGCATGGATGCAGGAGACGTGAATCAACATGGAGCGCTAACTGCGGTTTCTCTTTTTTTAGCTTGTCTTTTTTTTTTCTGCTGTGAAGTTTTAGAGAAGGTCAGTCAGACACTAGATACTTGTAAGCAGCCAGGGTCAGTGCTGGGCCATGGAATGGAGGTGGCCCGCCTCTTTCTCGTGGCACCTTGAAGACGTACGGGCAGGAAGGCCTCTCGCCATGCATCACCATGGGGCAGGACGTGAAGGTGTGCGCAGTGTCAGGGGAGGAAGTGAGTGTCAGGACTGCCGGGGAAGCCGGAAGGGCTTGTTGGAACACATCCGTCCTCCGAAACTGGGCTCATAAAGCCATGGGTCAAATCATGACAGCGTTGCTATTATTCAGCCATTTTCCATCATTTTTGTAGAGAAAGTAAGATTGCAGAGGTCTTTGCCAAAATTATAAAGTTGTGTCATGAGGATGTGTGCTTGAGTGGTGTTTTTCAACAGCAGAGACACGTGAAAGCCATTACAGTTGGTCTTGAAGAAACAAAGCTTGGACAGTTTGTGTCTGGAATGTGTCATGTGAAACGCGGCCATTCTGAAGTTCCGCCTCACCTAGCCCAGTGTTTCAGATTCTGTTTGTCTCCATTGCTTCATTTGAGAGAAACTTTGTGAAATTAATAGAAAAGCAGCCTGTGAGTGAAGAAACCCTGACAGATGTGACTAAGAACTGTTGAATATGAATTTTGTCCAGGTCAGCTTTGACTGGATTATGGACACAGTGCAGAGCCTAAGGCTTAAAAGTAAGCTGCACTGTCACTCATGAGTGAGATAAGCAGGTGGGGCGGTTTGCAGAAGATGTGCTCATGTAGTTAAAAGTATGACTCCATTATTTTGTTTCTCCTGCGATAAAAAGTTCAGTAAGAGTCTTGACTGCGTTTCCCTTCTGACCGTGATTATGATTGTTGCTTCCTGATTTCCGAAGGTCACTGGGTTGTACGGGCGGGTGGGTGGTGTGTCTGTGTGCCCCGCAGCAGGGGTCTGCGTTCCTGCTGCCGCCCCCCCACTCAGGAGTGCTGCTGTCTGCTCTTGTTTTGAACAGCGCCATCATGACCGGGTCCTACAACAACTTCTTCCGAATGTTTGATAGAGACACTCGGAGGGACGTGACCCTGGAGGCCTCGAGAGAGAGCAGCAAACCACGCGCCACCCTCAAGCCCCGGAAGGTGTGTACGGGGGGGCAAGCGGAAGAAAGACGAGATCAGTGTGGACAGTCTGGACTTCAACAAGAAGATCCTGCACACGGCCTGGCACCCCGCGGACAGCGTCATCGCTGTGGCTGCCACCAATAACTTGTACATATTCCAGGACAAAATCAACTAGAGACGCAAACGCACAGACCCAGTCGTGTCTGGCCTAGTTAGCCGGCCATCTTTCTGTCGGAGAGCAGGCACCAGTGTCCACTCCATTAAGAACAGTGACGCACCTGCTGCTTTCCTCACAGACGCAGGAGAAAGCAGCCTCCGCTGGAGGCTGGTGTGGTTCCGCCTTCGGTGAGGCGCGAGACAGGCGCTGCTGCTCACGTGGAGACGCTCTGGAAGCAGAGTTGACGGACACTGCTCCCAAAGGGCCATTACTCAGAATAAATGTATTTATTTCAGTCCCAGCCCTCCTTTCCAATTAATAGACCAAAAAATTAACACCCAAGAGCAAAGTCATTGTCAGATCCCTTTCTCCACTTCTTTCCCTCTTCTCTGCCATCGCACCTGGGCTTTCCCTGCAGTGTGGCGTGGCGACCGTCCATGTCCTCTCCAGCCTTCCTCTGAGTCCTGGTGGCTCCATGGATGTATGGATGTGGCCCGAGCAGGCTCAGGCGGCCCCACTCACCCACTGCATCCACCGTCACCCCTTCGGGTGTGACCTCTCAATAAAAACAACACACTATAAAAAGTGTTTTTAAATCCAAACATAAGTATTGTCTTTTTATTGCTTTCACTGCATAGAATGAAGTAATGCAGGATTATCCTTTGGAAGTGTTGCAGAAATGTGTGTCCTCCGGCAGCGTGGTGGGGGGGGTCGGGGTGTGCAGCACTTCTCTCCCCAAGCTACCACCGGCTGTGCTTCTGTAGAAGTAGCCCATCGGATGCACCAGCTACGGTCTGGGGAAAGCCAGAACCGAGGCCACCCTGAGAAAGAAAATTGCAAGGAAGAACCGAAATTGCTGCCATCCAGTTAGCCTGGTTTAAAGTAGCCTCAAATTCACTACAGTTGAAGAAATAAGTGCTTTCTTTCTAAGGATTTTTAAAAAGTACTTTGGGAAAAATATACTTTTTAAATATCGCTAAAATTATTGGCATGCTAAATTTCATCCTGCATTTCCAGCCAGCAAAATTCAGCAATTTTAATTCCGTGATGCCACCAGTACCTTGGTGGTTTATTTTTCGAAGTAAGATCTTTGATAACAGAAATCAAGATTTTCCAAGACAAATAATACAGAGGTGTGCCAGTGCCAAGTGCCCAGAGCTTGCTTGCGTGGGATTTAACACACACACCCGCCACGTGTCCCGGGGGGAGCAGAGAGTCGGGCTCCTGTGCCCCCGTGGAGGTGAAGGTGAAGGTGTGTGCTGATTAGTCCACGTGCGCAGGAGCAGGATGTCCGTTCTCACCCTGAATTAATGCTGACAGACACCGCTTGAGTTCACATGAAGTTAGAAATGGAGAACTTAAAAGTACCTTTATTTTAACTTAAAAGTAATTCCTATACTGTATATTGATTGTGACACGATTGACAGTCTGAGGTGTGGAACAGAGTTACTTACGCATTAGTCAACCCTGGTCCTTAAAAAGTTCTAGGAAAATGGGATTGTATATATTTGCTCAACTATTTTGACCAAAAAGTTTAATAAATTTTAAATGTTTAACTGGATTTTCACTGTGCATTTGGACACCTATTACCATCTTTCCTCTAGAACACACTTCCCACTAAATAGCCCACCTCCCACCTCGAAGTGGAGCAGTGGCCCACACAGGCGAGTCCCATGTGCAGAGGCTCCACGTGGGCACTGCTGCCCCCCGAGACTGCGGCTGCCAGGAGGCTGGGGGCGCACGCTCCCTGGAGGCATCCTCACCTCGCTCTGGGGCCCTCTTCATTTCTGTGGGTTCTCTCCAGTGTAGTCTTGATGTTCTGAGAGGTGGTGGTGATTGCAGGCACCGGTGTCCACAAAGAGCAGGATCCCTTCACTTCTGAGAAGAAGTGCTCTCAACAGGCATGGAGGAAGCTCTTCGGTTCTTTGCCCTTTTATACTTCGATTCCATTCGAGCCTTTTTCCATCAGTGAGGTAAGAATCCTGTCTTTTTCAGACTTACTATTTATACTCAAGCTTGTTCATGAAATACCTGTCATTTCTCTTGTTCTAAAACTTTCCTCTCTCGTGCTTAAAGTGAGAACCGTGTCATCAGCTCCTGAAGGTTAATGCTGAGCACCTATTTCATTGATGAGGATTCTGTGCTGGTGGTTCACGGAGGTTTGCAGCTCTCTGGGCTGATGACCTGGATTCCGTGAACGCACTTTCCTTGTATGTGGATTTAACGTGCATTTTTTTTTTTTTTTTTTTTTAAGAGAAATGGAGCTCCTACCAACCAGTCTGTGATGCCATTGTGGACAGACTTGAGCTGGTTTCGGAGGCCACGTGACTGGCAGGTGTGGGCTGAAGACGGCAGCATGTGGGTGTCTGTCCTTCCTGTGTGAAGCCAAGTCACTGCTGTCAGTGCCAGAAGCCGTCCAGAGCATGGTGCCGTCGGGTTGGTGTTTGTCCTGCTCCCGGCCAGGTGGAACTGGCCCTGGATCCACCCAGCCTGGCTGCTGTGCGTCGCCCCTTTGCTTGCTTGGAAGAAACGGTGGGTCTGAGGGGCCGTGGAGGCTCTCTGGGTGGCCTTAAGTTTGCTTTCTCCTAAGCCTGCACTGTGTCCTTGGCCAGCAGCTTTGGCGTCAGCTGGGGAGTGGGGCAATGAGGTCAGAGCCAGCGGGAGTCGGGCTCTACAGGTCAGCAGGGGTTACAGGCGAAGGGACGGGATATGCCGGCTGTATGCAGGGTGCGGCTCTGCTCACCCTGGGCTGGGCCAGGGTGCCTAGCGGGGCTGGAGCCGCATTTCAGTGGGGAGCTGTCCCATCAGTGCTGGGCTGGGGTCACCAAGAGAGTGGGACGGACAACGTCCATAAGCTGATGAGACGGCCAGCCAGGAATCCAGCCGCAGGTGGGGAGAAATTGCAGTACAGACCGGTGGAGCTCAAGGGGCCCGCAGACCACCTTCAGACGCTGCCTGCGGCTGCGGTGCCCCCACTCCAGGAGAGGCCTGGGCCTGGGAGAGGCCTGCTGGGCGCCGTGCTCTTCCCTGGGGTCCCATTCTCGGCAGAGGGACTCGCTTGTGCTCCCCGAGGGGGTTGCCTGCTGAAGCCGAACTCAGCAGTACACCATGGTGGGCTTCTCTGCAGGCCGTGTGCCCGTGTGGGTGGAGTGTAGATCAGACTTGAGAAAGGGCAGCACTCCCAGCTCCACAGTGCCGTCGCAGGTTAGGCCCTGCAGAGCTGTGAGGTTTGGCTGGTGTGGGTGGCAACCCGTCCTGGGTGCTTGCTGAAGGCAGGCACTGGGCCAGGGCTTTCCCTACAGCCACCCTGGCCACAGGTCAGACCACATGCTGCTGCACCCGGCTGGGCACTGGGGTGATGCTGGGCTCAGCTTTGAGCTCATGCCGCTGTGCCGTGTGCCCCTCAGAGCGCTGGTGACAGTGCGGGGTTGCCTGCTGGACACAAAGGGCTCCTCGACCTCGTAGGAACCTCGGCACCCCTGAAGTTGGGAGAGGTGCAGAGGGGCAGCACCTCCAGCCCGGGTGCCTGCACCCAATCCCAAGAGCTCAGCAGCTGCGACTTGCCTCTGGCCAGGGTAGGTGGTGGTCCACACCCAGGACGGGAGCCCACACTTGGTGTCCTCTGGGTTTTTTTTGACATTATCTTAAGGAGTGACAGACTCCCACCTCATCTGCTCCCACCTGTCTCTAATTTCACACACCTGAGCCTGAATTCCTGCATGCGTTTCCCTTGTGCCACTCAGAACTCGAGGGGATTTTGGAAGTGAGAGTACAGCAAGGCAGCCAGCCAGAGGGCGGCTCTGCCCTCTGGGGCACCCCGGTGTCAGGACCCTGCCCTCTGGGGCACCCCGGTGTCAGGACCCTGCCCTCTGGGGCACCCCGGTGTCAGGACCCTGCTTCTGAGGCTGACCTGTACCAGGATTTTGTAGAAATATCTCCAGTTAGAACCTCTTAGTATGTTTCTTAATATAACAGCAATTGGCATCTTAAAATACGAGACTGTGGCTGCCCAGTGATGGACCCAGAACCGTGCAGCGGGGCTGGCAGTGGACGGGATCCCGACGGTGGAACAGAGAGGTCAGAACTGAAACCGCGTTTCGTGAAGTCACAGCATCACGCAGAGGGAACAGGTTTGGGGTGCAGGGGCAGTACGGTCGTAGGAAGCTGTCCAGCTCCGTGCGGGCGCAGTCACCTTCGGTCACTCACCAGATGTAGATTGCAAATAAGCGAAACCTGTGATTTCCCTGAATACTCATTCTCCATCTGGTGAGTGGTTGAAGTCACGTTCCGTTTTCATTTTCCTCTTGGTTGCTGGGAAGTGCTTCTGATAGTGATAGTTTTTGACTCTGCTGCCCTTGTCATCCTTGGCTCTGTCGCACCCAGTTTCCTTCACGTCCTTGGGTTGTGTCCTGGACGTTTCTAACAGGCTGTGTTCCTGGGCCTGAAACTTAACTGGAGACGGAGTGCCTTGCAGCTTTGCAGGGACCGTCATCACTGGTGTGTAGATGCAAAACATGGGCACCACCCAGTAAGAACTGGCAGGGGCTGCCGGCACTGGGCGCCAGCCCCACATTTGGCCGGGCCCAGACCACGCGACTGCCCATTAGGCCCCAGTCCCCAACCGCAGCCCAGCCGAGGCCGAGAGGTGGCCGCACTTCTGCAGATAGAGGTCCAGATGGAGCTGCACCTGCTTGGGGTGGGGTCGGCCACGGGACCTCAAGTTTCAGAGTCAGTGCTACCTGCTTTCCACTTGCTAGCATTACACCTTTGAAGATGATGGCGTGACCTCAGTCCACTTGCCTTGCAGTTGTTAGAAAATTAACTTTGGGGCTGGGCTGGTGGGTCATGCCTGTAATCCCAGCACTTTGGGAGGCCAAGGTAGGTGGAACACGAGGTCAGGAGTTTGAGACCAGCCTGGTCATCATAGTGAAACGTCATCTCTACTAACAATACAAAAAAAAATAGCCGGGCGTGGTGGCGGGCTCCTATAATCCCAGCTACTCAATAGGCTGAGGCAGGAGAATCGCTTGAACCCGGGAGGTGGAGGTTGTAGTGAGCCGTGACCGCGCCATTGCACTCCAGCCCAGGCGACGGTGCAAGCCTCTGTCTAAAAAAAAGAAATTATCTTTGGAAAGGTTGAGACCTCATGTGTCTATTCCAGGAGAATGGGAAACATTTATGATTCCAAGAACTTTCGGGGGAAATGTGTTATCCAAACGTAAGTATCTGAACACAGTGTAACCCTGGTTCTTATTAGAAGTGTTTTTTCTTAAAGGAGTTGTGAACTGGTCACACCTGCACAGTTCACAAGTCCCTGGAGGAGGATGACAGAGTCTTGCTCTTGCCTCTGGCCCCCTGGATACTTTTGGACACTTGTTTCTTGGGTTTACTTCCAGTTTTTAATACAAACACAATTAAGATTCCTTCCTGTTTCCCCCGTTTCTACACATTGGATAGCGGCCTGTGCGTGCCAGCGCCTGGCTGTGTTTGCCGCTCACGCCGGGGTGGGGTCTCCACACCACCCTCGAAGCCGCCTTGCTGGTGGCCTCGGTGCAGCGGCGGCACCATGTGTGGGATGCGGCTTCTGACTCCAGGGCTGCGCCGAGG